TGTGGTTGTGTTTGTTTGCAGGAATATGCAAATTATTTGACAGAAAATGTGCAAGATTTTAAATGATGTAATGGATCAACTTGAAAGGGTCAAAGCAGTAATAATAATAATCCTCTTTAAGAGGCTGCATTCATGTAATGGACTCTAATGCAGAGTCTGTCTGAGGCCGTGGTTGGAGCAGCTGCTGTTGGGAGAAAGTCTTCCTTTGGAACTGCTTTACAGACATGAAAATATAACAAGAAATCAGTCTGCAGAGTGATTAATTTAATGACACTAGCTATTAATCAGACATAAACATGTAGGTGTTGTTGTCCTCGTCCACCCAGTGTGAGTCTGGCTGCTGCAGGACTGATGGATTCTTCATAAATCCCCTCAAAGCTCAGAGAGCGTCGACCAAACGCTCACTGACTCCCATTAAACCTGATCTGCAAAGAGTTGGGTGACAATCACAGAGTGTCTCTAAGCAGCCCCCAGATCTGTTTAAAACACAGTACAGACGTGAAAACACATCAGTACGTTCAGAACTAGATTGTGCTTCACACGCTGAACAGGTGATTGGCTGATTGATGCTGGACGAAGAAAGAAAGACTACAAACATGGCCGCCTCCATCAGCAGTGTATAATGTTGTAGTGTTTCTATCAGCAGCTTCAAGACAAATCAACAGACTGATGATCTTAACGAGGCCTTGACCCGTGTTCTAACAGGTTCTAATGTGTTCTAACGTTCCCCAGACCAACGTCTTTCCGTCCCAGACTGGTCAGTGGTTCTATACCTGTTTGGTTAAACTTGTAAATCAGGGTCTGTCCAGGTAACACTGGTTTCAGGAGCGATAGCAGCTGCTGCATGTTGTTGTTTGTTTTTAGAGGAACAAGACTCACAACAACTTGTTATTGTGTTTTAAGGTTTGCTATTTTAATTGCACAGCGTTTTTGTTCAACTTGTTGGCTTTATGAATAAAGTTGTGTGGTGGTTCCAGCTGTGTCTCCAGTAAAGCAGCAGCAGCATGATGTGCTGAGGACAGAAAAAGCTTACAGCACCTGGTATTCCCAGGCGGTCTCCCATCCAAGTACTAACCAGGCCCGACCCTGCTTAGCTTCCGAGATCAGACGAGATCGGGCGTATTCAGGCTGGTATGGCCGTAAGCAACAGCAAAGGGAACAAACACAGTATTTATGGAGGAAAACTGGAATCTGTCCTCTGGATTCTCCTTCACTTAACAATGACTTTGACACAGCACAAGAACATCATATGAACAGCTGATATTTCTCTATGTTTATAGCATGAATGTAGTCACAGTGAGCTCAACAAATATAAAGTATATATATTCAACTGATGAGTGTAACTCAGATATAAAGCTGACAAAGACTCATCTCCAGACACTGAAGCAGCAACAGACACAATGTGAGTTTGGTGACGTATAAAAAGCTGGTGTGAAGCATGTGCTGTTGCTTACGGCCATACCAGCCTGAATACGCCCGATCTCGTCTGATCTCGGAAGCTAAGCAGGGTCGGGCCTGGTTAGTACTTGGATGGGAGACCGCCTGGGAATACCAGGTGCTGTAAGCTTTTTCTGTCCTCAGCACAGGATGCTGCTGCTGCTTTACTGGAGACACAGCTGGAACCACCACACAACTTTATTCATAGAGAACACCCAACAACAGTGTTCTCTGTTTGTCGTGTGTGATGATGTTTGTTCTAAGCTCGGCTGTCACTTCAGCCACAGAACGCCATCGGATTCTGTTCAAAACAACAAAAGCGTCGACTTTAAAGAGTCAAATTAAAATATTTATTTCAGGACTTAAACTCTTCAAACAGCCGCATTCAAATATTTTTTTACAGTTTTCAGCAAAAACGAAACAAAAGTGGAAAAATGTCAAAAACTGTGAGTCTGTTTGTCTCCTTTAAAAACGGTGGAATGTCCTTTAACCAGCGTCGTCACATGACGACACGTCATCGGCTCCTCTTGGTTCGTCACGACCCGTCACATGACCCGTCACACATATCGGCACCACGTCACAATTCCTTGACACATGACCCGTCACCGCCATCACATGACCCGTCCTGTCAGTCACATGACCCGTCACCGCCACAGGAGAAATGCACTAAGAAGAAAAACATAAAACGTCTGTACAACATGAACCCAGGTTATCGTCTGAAACCTCGGTCCTGGTTCACCTGTCCACTCAGGACACGGGGCACGGGATTGGACAGCATGCCTGTCAATCACGGCACTGTCTTCAGGGCCGGAGGCGACCTGAGTTCAGCCTCACAGGCAGCTGAACCAGATTCACTCCTGATTCAGTTCTCAGGTGAGTCTTTGAACCCATGAAGTCTTCCACAGTCCTTGCAGTGAAGCATCTGATTGGCTGAGGCAGTTGAGGAGGCGGGGCTCAGCCTGGGAGTCAGAATTCAGGGTAGAAATGTTCTGAAGAAGGTGTGACGCTGCGTTCAGGTGACTCAGAAACAAAAGAAAGCCTCAGAGCTCCAGCGGGTCCCACAGCACCTGAACGCAGCGTCACTGAAACATGCAAATATAAAACATCATGACAGTTTAAATTAAAAACAAAGCTGCTGTCGTTTCCTCCTCCTGTCAGTGAACCACATCCATGTCCTCAGTGTAAACAGATGGAGAAGAAAACCATGAGGGGAAAGAAAACAGACCAGTAATAAACACGAGTCGCTCGTTGTTCTCACAAGTCGTCGTGTCACAGCGAAAAGAAAACCTGTGAAAAACTTCAATGTTTTCCATCTTGTATTTCTTGGATTTTCGTCATTTAATTAATTTGGTTTTCAAATGTTTTTCTATTAATTTGAATTTGCACTTTCACCTGCTTGATGTTTAGGATTATTTGTTTCCTAAACGTGATGCAGGAAGGAGGCTGAGTGGGGAAGTGCCATTTAAACAAAGTCCTGTTTGGTTGTGAAGACGTGGCTTAATGTGTAAACATCGGTGTGTTTGGAGGCTGCAGCAGCAACAGGAGGAGAACAAGACTTTGTTTTTGGGTGGATCGCGCCTTTTAAAAACAAGAGGAGTTGCCGTGGCGACTGATTATCTCCGTCGTCACGGCAACACACACAGCCTCATATACAGAATATATCTATATATGTATATATTTACAGAATATATTTGTACACAAACAGTCCGTCAGCAGGATTCAGGTCGCCTTTTCAACGTGAAAAATGTCCCAGCATGCAACAGTGGTCACCTGATCGTCATCCTCCAATCACATCAGGACCTTCGGCTGTATGACGTCTCATCATTGAGACTAACAGCGATGCTTTTAAGTATTTATCTCTCCAATGGATCTGCACATGTGCATGTAGTTTCCGTTTTTCTGCTTCTGAACGCTATAGAAGTCCTGATCACATACGGAGGATCGATTGATCAGGTGATCAATGAGCCTGAAATCAGCTGCCGGGTCACATGATTGACCTGAAACCATAAACAGCATCAGAGCAACAGGATTCCACAACAGCTGGAAAAAACAAACAAAACTGTACAGAGAAGAAAGACAACGTCCGTCTGTCCGAACAATCCTCCGACTCAGAGTTCAGGGTTTTGGTATGACGTCATCAGTCACGTGACGTGAAAGATGAAAACGCTGCGTCTTTTATTACAATAAATATTTCTGACAGTTTGGATCTGATGGAGACGTTGAAGCATCCAGCAACATGTTGCCTAACGTTAGCACTCAGAGCTAAGCTAGCTTAGACTAAAAATGTCTAACTTCATGACTATTTGTCACTCCAAATTCCAAAGCTACTGGGGTTATGACGCTAGCTGAAGTTAGCATTTTTTAAGCCAACTACTGTACACATATGTTAGCATGAGGCTACGTTAGTCTAAACTCAAAAATAAAAATGTCTGACTTAATGGCTAGCTTTATTATCTCAAATTCCAAACCGCCTGGGTTCATAAGATTTGTTAAATTATCATTTTCAAACTAACTACAGTACACTTAAGTTAGCATGAGGCTACATTAGCCTTAAGTTAAAACTGAGTAGATTAAAGTTTAACAGCCAGCTGTTTAAGTTTAATCTTAAAACCAACTAACTGGCTAATGTCTACAGTTAGTTTTACCCTCATAATTTTAGCCAATGTTAGCTTCCTCAAACCAACTGCTGTAGACCTGTATTCACTAACATTAGCATTTAGCATTTGTAGTGTAATCTACACCATCTTTATTGATGGTTTCTGGATTGTTTTCAAACCCAAAGCAAGCAGTTTAATATGTTTACAGCTAGTTGTATTAGCTTAATCTACAAACCAACTAACTTCACAATGTTAGCTAATGTTAGCAGTCAGTTATTTTAGAGCCATCACTAAACAACTACAGAGGTGTTGGCTATCGTTAGCATTGAGCTGCATTAGCAGTTAGCAGTGTTGACAAAGTCTCAGGATGTCAGTTAATATTTAAAGATAACTGTTTCAGTTTAATTGTTACTACAGTTAGCATTTAGCAGTGTTGGCTATACCCGATACCAACTTTCTTAACATGAACTATCGTCTGCAGTGAGCTACATTTGCTGGCTAATGACTAGCTGCATCAGCTTAAACTGTTTTCATAATTCTGATCGTAGCATTCAAGCTACTACATTTACCATTTTGAGCATTTAGCAGTGCTAATCATGAGCTTTGTTAGCTTAAACTCTGGACCAAGTACTATTGTAAAATTATGGCCCATTTAGAGTCACAACTATTGGCAATTAGCATTTTGTCTTTCTAATCTCTATAATAGTTTTTCTATTGACTTTAAATTTAAAAAAAAAGCAGTCTTATGTTAGCTAGCTTATAGCTAGCTGTTAGCTTGAAGTAAAAAACCAACCAGGGTAATATTCTTAGCATCATGCTAGCATCTTCTTTGAACCAACTACATCAATAGTGGCTGCACTTATTAATGAGCAATATTAGTGTCATTTAAATTAAATGTTACAAAAAAAAAAGCTTTTGTTAGCGATTAGCAGCATAACATGTCAACCATCTTTTTCAGCTAAATAAGGGCTAGCATTTTGCTACATTAGGTTAATTAGCAATGCAAATATGCCATGTTTAATTAAATATTCATTTGTTTAATACTTTGTTTTGCTTGTATTTAGGTTTTAGGAGAATATTTAAGTTTTGTTTTCACTGATAAGTTTGTTTTTAAAGAGTTTGCTATTGAATGTAAATGTTTGATTTTTATTATCTTATATATTTGTGTTCAGTTGATCAAAATCAAAGATAATGTCAGTAAGTCAGTTGGGGATTCACTTCTAAACAAACTAGAGCCATAAAGTTAACGTTAAAGCAACGTTAGTTCAGCGATGTGAGTATAAACCTTCATGCTGCTGTTCAGTGAGACCAGACGCAGCAATGAAAGAATTATCTGAGGCTCAGATTAGAGATTTAAAATAACAGTCAAATAAAAATATATTTACAAAACTATTTAGCTCTAGGTAGAATTAAAACATTGTTTTTTCTTCCCGTAAACCTTAAAATTCCTTGTAATGACTTGAGCCCCCTCTAAAAACAATAAATAAAAAAAAAACACCCTGTAGGAGAACGTGTAATATTTAATATCCTAAATCTGTGCAAAAACAGCCGCGTTTAAACTGGCTGCAGCTCAAACAGCTGATTCATGGTTTTAATCTTCGTTTCTCAGACGTAAAGATTTTCAGCTTTTCTTTGACAGCAAAGTAAATCCACATCTAAAGACGTCAGCTCCGTCTGCTAATTAAGATATTTAAATGTCTCGTTTGTCTGAGAAACAGTCAAAAACACAAGATGTCACTTTCAGAAGAAACTTAAAAAACTAGTAAATATTCACATCTGAGATTTTGCAACCAAAGAATTCTCTCACCGATGTCTGATCGATTATTACTAATTCTTGTTTTTAATGTGTGTTTGTGGCTTCATGGCTCGTCTCAGGAGCCCCTGAGCCACTTCACTGGAGATAAAGTCAACTTCTGTTCATGTCTCCATCAGATCCAGCTGCTGTTTTCATCTACAACCCTCCTGACTCTGACGTCGGCTGCAGATGATCTGGTATCAGCTGGGACTGAAACGTGGACGAGTGATGGTTTGAATGTGACGACAACAGATGCTGCAGCTTAAAGGCTCCCCGACTAACAGCCGGACCGGTCAGAGCCTGTGTGGAAGCCTGTTGCTGTCAGCAGATACAAAATAAACACTAAACAGATCAGAAAAGTTAGTCACAATTAAAAAAAATCTGCACGATGAACACAAATCTGATCAAAACACAGTTAAAACGTTTTTTTGTAAATATAAAACTTTATCTCAAATTTGTCACCGACTGACTCAAAACCTTTTTTTTTGACCTTTAAATCTGTTTTTTTCTATAAAAGGCAAAATTATGAATAAAAAAAGAACCTTTTTCTTATAATTTAGATTTTTGACGTTTGATGTAAATTGACTTTTTAAAAGTCAAACATTTTTCAAGTCGAATTTTCGACTCCTTAACTTCTTAAGTTCTGCTTTTTCATTTTATAAAAAATAAGCGAATACATTTACTAAAAATTGACTTTCTTTAAAGAAAACTTTCAGACTTCTTTCGTCTATTATGAGATTTTTTAAAAAAAATGTAAGAAATGACCTTTTCAAAGTAAAAGCTTAGAGTTTTGGAGCTCATCATTTTGACGTATTGAGTCAAACGTCTGACCTTTTGTGGAACTTCTGCACGAGTGATATTTTAATTGTGACTAACTTTTCTTCTTCTACAGACAGAAATGTGTTTGTAACCGTGATGCTGACCAATAGGAGCACAGAGACTGTAACCATGGCGACGGTAAACACAGCCTGTCCTCCTGTGCGACCTGCAGACGTCCACAGTCGCTGTTTGTTTACATTCTGGCTTCCTGATGACATCACACACACTGTGACAGACGTGAGCGCTGATTGGTCGACGACCAACACTTGATCCTCCGTTATGATCAGCTGACCAGAACCCTGCATTCATCCAACGGCCTGCAGCGCTACAGGAGGCCGACTGAGCGCGTGCGGTGGCGTCCAGGTTGTCTACATGGTGACGGAGGATCCGGGTGCGGTGGATGATGAGGATGTGGTCGCCGTGGTGACGGGGTGTCGGGGCGGGGCCAGGTCCAGCAGGGCGCTGACGGTCCCGGCCACCTGGGGGAGCCCTTGCTCCTCCAGGATGTGGAGAGGAAGACACAACTGACTCTGCACAGACAGACACCACAGAAGAAGATGCACAGCGAGGGGAGGGGCGAGGGGACAACGGAAAGGTGGGTCAACGGATGGAAACGTAAATGAAGCAATAAAATAACTGTAACCATGGTAACACAAGGGAGTAAAAACGAGGAGCGGCAACGTCAACAAAAAAGGAGCAACTGAAGTGATGGAGGAAAGAAAAGGTGAGAAGCAGAAGCAGAAAGAGATCCAGAGCTTTTCATTGTCTTCATCAGAAAACAGATTTCAGGCACACCGACATAAACGTGTTCGCTGAGGTCAGCGCATCACGTCGGCCGTTTAAAGCTAAAACACGTCATTGTGCTGAGAACACGACCTCCATCACTGCTACAGACACACAACGTGAGTCACAGCTGCTTCAATCGACTTTATTCATGGAGGGAAAAGTTTTCTCCAACATCAGGGCAGAGCAGAGGCACACAGTCTGATAAAAACACTCATCATCATCATCCTCACGCTTCAGCTTACAAAAGTCAAGTTTTCAGTGTTTTCTCTTCATTTCCACTTCATGTTTATAAGACGACGTAACCATGTGGGTCTATGAGTCTGTTTCCACTGCAGGACCTCAACCAGGAACCCGGTTCAGAGCTTCATTTAGGTCTAAGTTACGGTTTCGGTAAAATTAAATCTGTTGTTGCACGAAACTCTTGGAAATGTTCTCCTGGAGGTTTTCTTAAACTCTCCACAGAAGCATAAGACCAAGATCAGGAGAACACCTTCAGTACCTCAGGAATCCCTCAACAGTAGGTGAACCGGTGCAGCTAAAGTAATGCAGAACACTTCAAGTAGCTCCAACGTTGTCTGAACCAAAACATGTTATTTCTTTATGAATTAACTTTCATTGTAATTTCCTTCTACTTCTGCTGTTTTCTGTTTACGGCTTCTTCTCAGTTTGTTCTTTCTTTTACTGATTCCTCCAGTAATGACATCTTTTCCTGCTCTGGCCTGTTTCATTTCTTGATTTTTTTTACCATGTATACGACACCTTTTGAGGTGACAGAAGGCATCAGCGTAAGTCTAAGCGAACAGTCTCCATCTTACACCCTTCAGTAGGTCCCTCAGGTTCGGGGACATGAAGCCTTAAATCTCACACTTAGGGAGGAAACTTCAGGTGTTTTCTGTAACTGGCTCCAGGACTTTACCAAAACTTGGACTTGTAAGATTTATTTACTCTTTAGTCTGATGTACAATCGTGTGTTTCCACTGAGCAAACGTGATGAGTTGATTATTGGCCATTCCTAATCTAACAGATTAAAGACATATTAACCGATAAGGCAGATGACGACGGACATTCGTTTTGGAGAATGTGTTGTAGATTAGCTGTAGCACATTTAACTAGCAGCGGGCCACCATGACGGACTTCTGCAGCAATTAACTTCAGGCCAACACCTGCAGCTTGAACCAGGCAGCATTCTTGGAGCCGTGTAGCACATCTAGCACGAGAAACACCGAGCTAATTACAACGTTTCTCCAGTGTTAAACTACAAGTGTTCTTCACTTCGGTCTGTACGTGTAAATGTAATCCTGCCACATACAGATGCAGCAATAAAATGGTGTTTGCTACGTTTGTACAGGAATTGGTACCTCCTGAGCAGAGCCCAGATTTAGCTCCAAGAACCACAAAGTGAACCGGTGAAACTGGACACCGAGTGGTTGAAGTTTCTGCAGTGGAACTGAGATCAGTGTATGAGAGTCCTGCTAACACCGAAGGGCTCCAACACTCTGATTTCTAATTAAGCGTCACAGTTTGCATTACAGAGAGAAAGACCACGAGTGGAAACTATGATTTTCGGTGCTCAGAGCTTCTTCTCAGGCAAACATGTACAAACAGTACGGCAGGTTTCTGATCGGGAAGGCTGAACCACATTACAAACAGTAAAAACAGTAAAAAGAAACCCACACTCAGACAGGCAGCCGAACATAAGGCACAGGGGGCGGAGCTTCAACAGGCAGGAAACAAGCTTCAGGGTAAACCTCCAACTCTGGGGGATTGTCAAGTTTGAACTTCAGCAGATGAGGGATTGCATGATCCTCTATGGCTCAAAAGAACCTAACAAACTGTGACTTCAGGAGACTACGTCTTGTTTGGATCTGAGTAAGTCCAGACCAGTCAGTCCTAGTTCAAAGTTAACAAATATAAGATCAAAGTTAGTAAGTCCCAGGTCAAAAGTAGCAAGTCCAGACCAGCAAGTCCCAGGTCCAAAGTCAAAAGTTCGGGTCTGCATGCTCCAGAACAATGGTAAGAAGTCCAGACCAGCAAGTCCCAGATCAATGGTAATAAGTCAAGATCATCCAGTCATCAGTCAAAGGCAACAAACCCCAGGCCAAAGGTACCAAGTTCAGACCAGCAAGTCCCAGATTGTAGATAATAAGCCAAGATCAGCAAGTCACAGGTCAAAGGTAGGGGGTTCGAGGTCTAAGGTAGCAAGTAAAGACTAGCAAGTTTCAGGCGAAGAGTAACAGGTCCAGACCAGCAGATACCAGGACAAAAGTAAGAATACCTGCCCAGTAAGTCCTAAGTCAAAGATAATAAGTCAAGATCAGCAAGTCCCATGTAAAAGGTAGCAAGTCAAGACTAGCAAGTAACTGGTCAAAGGTGGCAAGTCCAGACTGGGACAACCCAGGCTAAAGGTAACAAGTCCAAGGTCAAAGGTAACAAGTCCAGACCAGCAAGTACCTGGTCAAAGGTAACATGTTAAGACAAAGACAAGTCTTGACTTTTGTGCTTTGAGTTCAGTACGAGTCAGCATTTGTTGGTGTGCTAGTGGGCAATATCAAAGATGCTTTTGCCACCTGACTGGCTGCTGTAAGACTGATGACAATCAATTGGCAGGAAAGGTAAGATGTCTGAGAAGGTTTGGGGACGCTATAAAATTATTTCAAGTCAGAATTCAAGTGGCGTCATGAGTCTTTGGTGTTTATTTTGAAGTTAAGTTCTAAGTCTGGCATCGGAAGTTCGAATCCAAGTATTGTGATTTGAGTCTCGAGTTTCTGAAAGTTTAGACAGCAGGGATTTTAGCACTTACAGGCTCAGTCGATTTGATTTGTATCATCAGCATAAAAGGACAGACACTAAAAACTGAACACTGTCAGACTCAATAGTGAAACTGACACAAACTGGATTTATGAAGTGGATTAGTGGATCAGTTAAAAAGTAACCCCAATCCTCAAGTCTAGAAATATATTTCAAACATCTGGATCGCATAAAGCAGACAGTGGGCATTCTGAAACAGCAGGAGCTACAACCTAGGGAGACTTTTCGGCAGTGTTTTGATTTCTGCACAGCTGAGTCCAGAAGTTACAGATATATCCGTCACACTGATGTCATCAGCTGGGCTCCAACTTGTAATGTGCCAAGTCTCTCCATCAAGTCACAGCAAAAAGGCAAAACTACCCTGGCTTCTGATCCCAGAAACCACATCCACACTGCTCACAAAGGCATATAAAGATCAAGTCCTCATTCCAAATCCTGGGGACAACACCAGATGATAAGTTAAAGGTCTGGACCCATGTGGATTAGTCAGCTTGGAGATGCTGGAGCATTTTTCAAGCTTGGACAAAGCGAGAGTCTTCATGCGGATGATGTAGCTAAGTTAGCTGAATGAAGCAGCAGCCTCCAGCTCTCTGGGGTAGTTTACAGGTGACCACAAAGCAGCAGCATCTTGAAGTCTGAGGCCGTGGTGCTCGGCTGAAGGCATTCAAATATCTTAACAGGCGAGTCCCGGAGGATGAACAGGTGCAACACTGGTAGTGATTTGGGTGGTATAGCAGACTGTTATATTGAAAATGGACCTAAGCTCTTTCACTTGTAGTTGAGGATATGAGGGATTGAAGTTAAGTTTCAGGATCACCCTTTGGAGGTTTGGAAACTCCTCAGGATCTACCATGCAGAGGTAAAGGAAACCCTTTACCGTGGTCATGCACTGTGACTTGTGCAGGAAGAATGAGATTGTTGAATAAAGCAGTTCTATCTTTAAAAGGAGTCGGCTGGCGTGGTGATGGCAGCTGGTAGTGGACGAGGAAGACCCATCTATCCATCTCGTCTAACCCAGGGATGCTTCGAGATTCCAGGAGGTGCTGGAGGATGTAGTGGATGAACAGGATGTCTGTCTCTACCTAGCTACCTTCTTAAGGCCAATTCATGCTTTCCATGTACGCGTCTGCAAGAAGTATGCATAACGGAAATGTCGTTATTCAATCGAGTCCGCAACAGACCACCATCTGTGCCAGTCCAAAATTTGTAACTGTCTACAATACAAACGTGTCAACCGGACACGTGTCAGGAAAACAAGTGGTGCTTCAAACAAATGTTCAGAATGAAGAGAGGCTGTACAAAATGATTCTTCCTCACCCACACCTTTATAATTTTTCATTAAAGAGTTGAATTCAAAGTCGTCGCTGCAGGACTTTGCAGGAGTTTTGTACATTGTTTCTCAAACACCGTAGGAAGTCCTTATTCCTCCAGAGGTCTTGCGCTACGCTCACGCACTATGTTTGGAACACCCCAAGAATAGGCATTAACACTATGGACGGCATAGTCTGTAAACAGTTGCTTGGGGAAATGCAACGTAACAGACTGAGGTGCATCTATTGGTATGAACAGAGCTACATGTGCGTACGCTGTCTGCCTGTACATCTGCTCACATGGATGCAGAAAGCATGAATTGGCAGTTACCTAGCCTGCATTTTTATTATTTTATTATCTGCACTTATATGTGAAATGGTCCAGGTATCGGATCAAGACGTCTCTTGAAAGGATTTTGTTTTAGGCGAGCCACAGAAGTTCCTGGAGGAATATATAAGCGGCTTTTTACTGCAGGAACTTGTGGCAGATAAACAGAGACTGCACCCTAATCAGGTCCTTTCAACTATAGCAATGGAAGATCTGACAGGTTTGATCGTGATGTCAAACTTCAAGTGCATCAAAACAATGACAAACAGTTGCTTGATACTATTCCAGTTCTATGAGCATGTAGGCGATATTAGCCTACATGGTGAACCATGTCGTTGGTGGCAGAGTTATAGAGGAGAAGACTGCTACTAGACAAGGACGTCGAGGAGGCAGAAAAACTGGTGACTGTCCTCTCTGAGTTAACAAATCAACACTGAGCCTCACACAGCAGGTTTTCAGGGCCGTTGAGAAGCAACTATTCGAGTGTAAGTGCTTCTTTCTCCAATGGAAACGGCACAGAAAGAGCCAGGTGTTGCGGTCAAATCACAAACCACAAAAGTTTGAGTCACCATAAAACAGCCGACGAGTTCCTGCAGTTAAAAGGTTAGGTTTCCATCTAGGCCGGGAACAAATCCAGATCCTCATTCAGGGAACGTGGCTACAGAGCAGGACATCTGGCAAACCTCCAGTATTTGTGCTAAACTAGGTTAATCTGAAAATGTTCGACTTTAAAGGTTGTGCTGTGAATCTGTGTGGTGAACGGAGATATTCTGAGAAGGAGATTTGTGGAATAAACTTGTATCAGTCGGTTTCTCCTCGTATCTGTGTGGAGTCGGCGGTCAGCAGACGTGTTCAGGTCCAGGCGTGCGGCGCCAGGTGTACGTAGATGGCACACAGCACTGACATGACGGACAGGTAAAAGAGCGCGAAGCCGGCCAGCTGGGCCTGAGGGGACAGGCTGATCAGGGGCGGGGCCATGGACAGCAACACACCCAGCGTCCCATAAACCCCGTCCCCTTTTCCCTCCAGGACCTCCCCCACCGAACAGAGACGGTCCTGAGTGTGTTTGTGTTGGTGAGATGGACACGGTGAAGGAAACGTGGGCACAGGAGTGATACGGAATAAGAACAGGGTTAATGAAAGGTGGGAGAATGAAGGAGAAGGAAGAGAGCTGTTAGTTGAAGAGAAGAAGCTTCCGCCTGAGCACCATTCATCCAGGTGTGACTGTTACCTGTGGAACTCCGATCCTGCGACACGCCTCCAGGAAGTTCTCCACGTTCCGTCGACATTTGGCCATGGTGAGTTTAGGCTGTAGGGGCAGGCAGATGTTAGCACCGTCGCAGGTGACAGCAGCAGGTAAATGGGCATCAGTTGAACCAGAGTGACTCACCACAGCGGGGGAGGGGACGTGGATGCTGGGTACGGACCGCGGCCTCACGTGATTGGCCAGGTGACACAGCACCACCCCGTCCGTCAGAGCTGCTCCCAGGTCGCTTGGCAATGACACCTTGAGACGAGCCTCGATGTTCTGGACAGAAAAACAGAAGCGATGTGAGGTGGCGTGCAGTGTAACAGGTGAGTCCAGGTGTAGCAGGTGGAGGTACGCACCTTTCTGAGCTGTTCCACCACCTCAGCGTCTTCTCCAACCAGAGGAGGAGCAGCAGGAGGCTCCTCCTGGCTCTGAGGAGCAGCAGCAGTGTCACCTGGAGGACAAAGAGGAGGAGTCAGACATACCTGACTAGGGATGGAAACAGTTTTCTTAACTGACAACTGGCAGATTTGTCAACCAATAACTAAAAAAATTAATGGCACAAAAATTAACTCAGGGGAAATCATTCTGCGTCCTGATGTAGATGTTTGAAATGTGGTCACGTGCTATAGCGCCACCAACAATCAACCACTGGATCACAATGACGGTCAGTAACAAACAGAAAACTCTGGTCGGTAGGCATTAAGTGTCACAGGAGACTTTCTCATGGTGGTACTTCACCAGCTAAACTCCTACAATGCTCTCAGCTAGTGTTAAACAGCAAGAGGCTCCACCTGGTGGTGCAATCAGGTACTACATCTAATCTACAATACATTTAATGGCAGACATGTCTGCCTCATCAGTTGATATATTCTAAAATCTGTTAAATCGCGAACAGCAGTCAATTAATAATCAACATCCCTACACCTGACCTGCGAAGGTGGTCTGAGCTCAGAGAGATCACCTGGCAACACCTCACCTTTCCTCTTCTCCTCCTTTTGATTGAGGCGATACAGGAAGCTCTCTGGTCTCACGCCGGCTGTCCGACAGGAAGCCACGCCCCCTGAGCCGGGGTACGAAGGCGACTGATTGGCTGAAAGAGGAACCAGGAGGCAGAGTCAAAAAGCATGTGGACAGGTAAGAAAAATGAAAATATGCGGGTTGCGTTTCTGCTGGTCTTACCTGTAGGAGACAGAGAGGCTCTGTCCTCGCCCTGCTGAGACACAACACATGACCGTCACACACCTGAGCACACCTGCAGGGTCCTCAGCTGGATGACACACCTGCACTAAGTCTGCTCATCTTTAATATCTTCATTTCACGTTCAAACTCAAACCAACCCTGACTACCTACAAACTCGGTCATCCCTGTGGATTCCTCCGCCGCTGAAAGTAGTCCCTCATAAATTCTCTGTTTCTATCTGATTAAAAACTATAGTAAGCTGCTGTTTTAAAACAAAACTACAGATCTGTGAGGTGATTCCTGATCAGCCCTGATTGATAGATGGATCTCAGGTTTACAAATAAGGCATTTGAAATCTGTTTTTAAAGGCTTCAGTAGAAACCAGTGGACTCAAAGCTGAGCGCCACAACAAGGAAGTGAGAAAGTGTTGACAAATAGAAACTAACAGCAGACCGAACCTCTCAAAACTTCCTGACTGAACCAAACAGCATAAAGTTTGTTAACCGGTAAACACAGTAACATCCAGACAGACTAAGCAGCAGCATGCAGGTTGCAGTACCTGCAGCAGACAGGAGGCGGCGCTGTCAGAAGCAGCGTGAGAGCGACAGCCGTCTACAGACACTCCAGTCACAGACTAACGGACAGACGGACGACGAAAACAAACAGAGAGAAGAAGACGAGAAGGGCCGAAATAAAAAGATGAAGGTTTAAACTCAAACAGAAATGGAAGCTGAGATCTGACGTCAGTGAACCCATAAAAACATCCATCGACTCTGTTAAACCATCAGCATGTTTTTCTGAATTTTGCATCACGTCGGTCACGTTTTTGCAACAAAGTGAAACCAATGCTCAACAAAGCCAATCAGCAGACGTATAAGAGAAACCTGCAGTGTTTTCACCTGTCTGTGTGAACCAGGACGTCGCTTTATAGTGTTTGTGTCAAAGTCGATCTCAAACACCAGAACACACTGACAGACCAACAGAAGTTCAGACAGACAGAGATAAAAAAATAAACATAAAAACCAAAAGGAGGAGGAACAAACTAAAGAGAAAGTGAAGACGAGGAAAATAAAAGAGCAAATAAGTGGCAGGAAAAAGGATGAACAGATAAAAGAGGAAGAAGAAGAAGAAAGAGTTAATACAGAAAGCACATTCAGCTTTTATCTGATTTATTGATTAATAAAAAAGAAGTGATCGGTTACCTTTGCAGCTTGCTCCCACTACGAGACCTTTTATATTTAGCTTGTTTAAAACATTAAGATATTTACTTTATTAACTCTAACTTCACTGTGGCTCATTTGAAATACAATCAAGTGGGTTGTCAGTTTACCATCATCACCTTCACCTCTCTGCTGTCCTGTAATTAATCTGTTCTGATGCTCGTTTACAGCCTGAACAGCAGAATCTAAACTCTGTGCTTTCATTTCATTAATTTTAACGCCTTTATTCAACTTAAATCAGTCAAACCTTTAGATTTTTGTGCCGTCTTGTTGCTCAGTTTATGAATTTAGAGGTGGAAAGGCTCAACAAACTAGACTTTAATAAGTGTGATTCACGTCACAGACATTAAATGAGCAAATAAACGTGTTGCACGACTGTCGTCACAATTGTGCAGCACAGTTATCACAGGAACAGTCGGATAAAACACCACAGCCAAGGTGGAATCGACAGGAAAGGGTGAAGGGTGAATAGTGAAGGAGGTGCAGGAGGACAGGTGGTGGGCGGGGCTCCGGTGACAGGATGAATGAGTGACAGGTGTGGACAGGTGTGTTCATGCTGGAGTGGCGTTGCCGAGGAAACTGTGGTGTCACATGCAGATTCAGTTCAACGAGAAAGAATCAGTCGGATTCAAATCACCAGAAATGATGCCTCAGACATCTTTTAAAACTCCTGTTATTAAAATACATGAAGAAGAAAACCTGTCTCAACCATCATTTATGAAATTTGACTCTGAAACATCTGCTTTTCGACTATTGTAAACAAACTTTGGCCCATTTTCAAGCATTTTCATTTATTTTTTACAACAAAACAAACCAACTGATCGAGCTCAAAATAATCAGACAGATAATCGGTCTTAAAACTTCATGAGGGTTTGTCTGGTGTTGTTCAATTTTGTCAACAAAAACTGCAGCTAAATAAAAGTTCTAGACGACAACTAAGACGAAACGTATATTCAATCAATAAAAACTCCACAATAACTTTTTATATTAATTGCTTTGTTTGGTCAAACTTTTTCATTCACGTACATCCAAAATTTTTTCCTGATGAACACATTTTACTTTTTGTGGCAGTTCCCCCACATTTGTATTTCAAAACGCATCATGTAAATGACTGTAAACAGATAAAAAGGTGCAGATAAATGTTTTGGGACTTAATCAACGGCAGCTCGTTTGGTTATATTACAAACAGCACCTGTTAAGTTGCCTCAAAAACACAGGACAGCTCTTATTGTGAAACTCAACTGCTCCGTTTTCCTATCTTTGGCTTCGTTCGTGCTTTTATTCTGTAATTCTTCTTGTAATTTAATTAATGTTGCTCTTATTCTTGATCATATTGTTGTAATAAAGAGCTGAATCAATAAAGTGATCATACTTGTCTTGACATTTCTGGCGATGCAACATGAAGCTGAGTGATTCTTGTCGGTTTGTCCGCTTTTATTTTGTAAATCAGTTAGTAGATATTTTTGGGGGGGCGGGGCTAAACTCTTACCATGAAGAGGGCGGAGTCATCTGTATGGGTGGAGCGTCTGGAGGGGTACACACTCTGAACACACATAAATGTGACAGACACGCCAACATTAACAAAGACACACAGACGTGAACAGGTGTGGTGATGGAGGGGGCGTGGTCTAAATGCATGGGGGCGGGGCTTAAACACAGCTGCTTGTATTGAACCAAATTGGAGACATTAAAGACCTCGTCCAGGGATGAACTGAAGTGAAAACCAACGAACAGCAGGAGGGAGGGACCACCATCACCCTGATCAACACAGGCTTAATGCTGCTTTTGCTAAATCTTGGCGTTAGGAGTCGGTGAGTTTTCAGGCTGCAGCAGACGACAGAAACAACACTGACTGGACACACAAACACCGACGGGATGGATGGAGTCTCACCTCAGTGTCTGGACTGGACTTTGTTGGACTCTGAGCTGCTTTGTGCTGAAAAACAACAACAGACCGTGTGACGATACACTTCCTGTTTCAACGATTACATCATATTAATGCGACGTCAAAACACATTTAACTGTCTGCAAACTGCAAGAAGCTCATCTGACAGATGTTTCCTCCTCCTTCCTAGCGCTGGTAGTTATCAGAATCCTTCATTATGTTTCTGTGATGGTTAACACACCTGTATGTAGAAGCTCTTTAACCCAGATGATATTTTTAATGCTAAAATATAATTATTATTAATTTCAAATTTACTGTTTTACAGAAAAAAACAGTAAAGCACATTATTATTTCTTGATTAAAATGTCAGATTATAGTTATTTACTTGCATTCCTGAACAGAAACATGAGTTTTAGTGGTTGAATGTTATGTTTGATTCCTGTCTGAGTTCTCAGAGAAGCCCAGTGGTTCCAATCTGGGTACAAAAAGGTGAAGTCAGTCTGAAATTCCTCATTCCTGTTCAAAATGGTTAAATTGGTGGCTCACTGGTTATACTGGCCGTACCTTGGAGTAGCTGGTGACGCTGTCCCTCTGCAGAGAACGGTTCTTGTGTCTCTCCACGTCGTACCTGAGAGCAGCGAGCTGAGCCTCCCTCCTCATCCTCTCCACACCTCCTGAACCCCCACCTCTCTGAGAACCAGACAGACAGACAGACAGTTAGTCCTGAAGAAACAGTGCGTCTCTGAGGTTTCCTATCAGACAGGCAGGAGGAGGCGTTACCTGGCTGTGGGCACTAGAGGGCGCTGCGACGCCATCGACCACACTCCTGAGAGACAGACAGGCAGTTAGACGGGCAGCGAGACAGTTACAGCACACATGAGAGCTCAGACTGAACCGGTTTCTGTACCTGCTGTGTCTCTTGGTGTCTTCTGTCCTGGATAAACTGGATTTCACAGGAGAACCCTGAAGACACACAGACACAAGGCGACACTGATGAAGCAGAACATGATGAGAAACCAGCTAATAAACTGTTGATGCGTTAGAGATTAATGCTGCAGTTTGGAGGAGACGCGTGCAGAGCAGGAAGTCTGGAAGGGTCAAACCTTCTGACCTCAGCTGACAACAAACTTTTCTGTGACATGAGATCAAAAACTTGTGAAATGAAACCCTCCTCCTGAGTCAGAGCTGCTCAGCTGTAGATTTAAACACCTCGTGTCCCGTATTGTTGCGACAGGTGGGCGGAGCTCTCACCTCTCTGGTGATGCGTCTCTCGATGTAGGCCATGAACTGAGAGCTGAGGCTGGTGCCGTCTCCTCTTCCTCCTCGACTCCTGCCCTCCTCTTCCTCCTCCTCCCCCACACAGCTGTCGATGAAGTCGATCTGCTCCAGCTCCACATCTGGAAACAGAGGAGAGGAGCTGAAACCATCTGAACGCTCATCAGTCAGGTGGAACAGCTGTGTGTTGACTACGGCTCCGAGAACTTGACGACAAACTTGCAGGTAAACTTTAGATGGGAATTAGTTTCAAATGCATCTAAAAACGTGTTCTCATTTGTCATGATGAGCTACTGAGTGTGGACTGATGGAGAATATTTAATCTGCAACACAACAAAGTGAATAATGAAGCTGATGAATCTGCCTCTGATGCTTTGAGGAGAAGCTCCAGCCTGCATGAAGCGGAGACACTGAGGCAACGTTTTACAGGTCAGTGGCTGCGGTTTAAGCCTGATAACTTCCAACATGATCTGATCTGAAGTCAGCTCAGAGACTCACGTGTTCCGTTGGCCAGCAGCGGTCCTCCTCCTCCTCCTCCTCTCGGCCGCTGGTCTCGGCTGATCTCGGCGACTCTGACCGGCAGCTCTGAAAGCTCCTCTGAAGGCTGAACAGACACAAACGGACAGACGCGACGTTTTAGTGGTCGGCTGCTTTAACGAGACCTCGGAGTTAAATCACGGTACTCAGCTGGACTTGTTGGTTATTTTTAAACAGGTGACTCATTCAGAGTTCTGCTGCTGAGAGTTTCAACCCAACAAGAGAACAGAAACCACACCAGCCTCCTGATTCAAGCTCCTCTGACAGATTTAAATGGTTCACTATTTAACACCTGGTTTGTTAAAACGTTCACACCCTTAATGTGAACGTTTAAGGCCACATGTGATTATGGCCAAAATTATAATCAGTATTATATTTAGATTTTAGGAACAAAGTATTTATTTGTTTATGTATTTATTCATGTTCACATTTAAATAACCAGAACTCTGCTTTCACTTCCATGTTGTGCTTGATGCCTGCCAATCTTTCTACTGTTCCTTGTTCACAGAGCAGCAAAACATCAACAAAACTAAACCACAACTTTTTTTTAACCTAAAACTAAACCAGCATTTTTCACTTTCACAACACGGGGACGTGTCGTGCAGCGTCGCCGGGATTCAGCGAGCCAGCGTTAAGCGATTATCTGATCTTTCCCGTCTGCTCTCTGTTGTTTGTCACTCAGCTGCTCTGGACTGCAGCCACAACATCCAGGAGGTTTGTTCTCAGGCTGCCGGGCTGCGTGAACGGCAGCATGACGGCCTCCCAGAGCGAAGCCAAAACATCTCCGTCGCTGTCTGGTGTCTGGATGTTAGTTTATGCAGCATTTGATTTGATCTGTGGCAGAGTTTTCTATGAGCAAAGCATTTTAAAAGTCTTTATACCAGCTAATTATGTTCATTTAATGTAAAAAAAAACAGATTAATATTTGATTACTTGTGCAGCAGTGCCCTTGGTTTATTAAAATGATTAATTGGTAATTATTTATCATCACATCAATGAACTCTGCAGCTGTCGGGTTTAGCCAGCAGGCTCTTTGTCTGTTTTGTTGTTCTGAACCATTTTAACTCATTTTGGACACGTTTTCATCATTCTGGACAGACAAGGTTTTGTATTTTTTGCGGTTTAATTCAGAATTCAGTAATCTGTAATCTACTTTATAGTCAAATCACTACTGTAACCGAGTTGATTTCAGGGTGAACGTTTTGTGTCAGTTCTTAAAAAGGTTTTATCAGCTTGGGGAAGAACGTCCGGCGTGTTTCATTTATCTCAACGATTGCTGACTATCAGTTGGTCAAACTGTTTAAAACCTGCATTCCTACTTACCTCACTTTATTAAAACGTTGCTGTGGTTTATTACATCCTGTTAGCGCTCACTTTTACTATAATGTGTCTTCTGACAGGCATAATTTATCTGGTTATATCCAAAGTTTTGAAGTTTTTTTGTGGAGGACGTCAGAGCCTCGGGATCAGGTTTAGGTTCTGGTGCGGGTCTTTGGTTTGCATTTTATCAGCGATCGTTCTCACAAAGACTGTGTGTGTCTGACCTCGTTCCCGAGCCATCGCTTGTCTCCGCTGTCGACGCTGTTGAAGCCGGAGTCCAGAGCTCCGTACGGACGGCCGGGGTACAGCTCATCAACACTGACAGGAAACAGAGGCAGTCAGTGACTGAGGCTTTTATTCTGAAGGAGCAGCATGTGTGTGTGTTTGTGTTGAGTTCAGACCAGGAGCTGAAGGTCAGAGGTCGTCTGTCGTAGTCGGGGAGGTCCGGCGTCGTCTTACTGGCCTCCAGGTTCAGATACTTGAATATGTGAACTTTCCCTTTGATGCAGATCTGCGGAGAAGCACAGCGCCGTGGTTAAAGCTGAACCTGCAGACCGACCAGCGGCTGGTGTCGCCGGCTGCCTACCTGTGCAGGTGGAGTCTGCAGCGGGTTGTTGTCGAGGACGATGGTCTGTAGCTGTGTGAGTCGTCGGTAACAGACGGGGATGGAGGTCACTTTGTTACAGGAGAAATCCAGACGTACCAGAGGAAGCTCCGCCAGCTCTGGACGACAGAAACACATTCATTTATTATTTAGCTTTAATGTGAAACTGGGTTAACTTTGTGTTTTAAGAAGCAGAAAGCAGAACTGCTCCTTTAAATGAAACTGCCTGCAGCGACACCACAGTGTACAGGTGTGTGTCGCTGTAACGTACCTGGAGGCAGCCGGACCAGGTGGTTCCTCCTGATGTTCAGGTCTCTGAGAGCTTCCAGCTGACCCACCTGAGCAGGTAAAGTCTGGATCTCATTGCAGCTCACATCCTGCAGGGAAAAGCATCAATAAGCGATCAGCAGAAATCACCAACAGGATCGATCAGTGACTAATCAGAGAGGCGTTTGATGGCTGACCAGCTCAGTCAGGTGTCTCAGCTGTCCCAGCTCTTCTGGCAGAGAAACCAGTTTGTTGTTGCAGGCGATCAGAACCTTCAGAGGGAGGCTGCAGACCACCGTGGGGAGAACCGACAGCTGGTTCCGACTGAGGAGAGATTTAGTCAGGTGTTAGTTACCTGTTGTATGGTGCTCACACCTGATCACAGCGTCTCTGATTCAGAATCAGTGGAAAGCTCTGAACAGCTGCAGGATTCATGTCCCACACACACAACGCTGTACAGACAGGTGACAAATTAAAGGAAAAGACCTGCACTTATTTGCACTGAAGATCTTCAGTTCAGTCCTTTCGGTTCGGCGACAATGTGCACCGAACGATGCAGAACTCCATTTAAAACTACATGTGTCCCCGCAAACAGCTTCAGCAGAGGACTACAGGTTGTGAGTTCAGATCACGTGCACACCACAGCCTTGTCGTTGTGTCAAACTCAGACCAAACAGAGCTCACAGACCCTCCGCTATCTTTAAAGTCTGCTGTTTGGGAACACCACAGCTCCTCAGTAAACTCCAGCGACGATGGACAAAAACAAGCGGATCTAACAAAAGCTAAAGCGGACATTGTTCCGGCCCGTGGCGTTTCAGCAGCCTCTTCACAACAGCTCAGACGGTGTCACAGCGATAACAAACGCCACAGGTGTTTTTATAGCAGCACATGAACAGAGCTACTGAGAACACGGGTTTTAAATACGTGCTGAAAGTAACCGAGCCAGTTGCCGAGTTCCCTCTCAACCACATCTCAGCCAGCGAGTCGTGGCAGCCATTTATAAACGAACACAAGCTGCAGTCGTCCACAACTTATCGAACACAAACACAGTAGAGTTGAAGCAGTTGATTTTCTAAATGCTGCACCTTCATGAACGTACTGAACCGTGACCTGAAAACTGAGGCATGTACCATGATTTCTGTGTTCTATTACACTCCTTAAGACAGTGACATCATGTGAAAGTGTAATAAAAGTATTTGGTCCCTAAAACCAGTGCATAATCTCATCATTGATCAGAATAATCACGATCACCGTTTTGGCCACAGTCATGCAGCTCTGCTACGACGAGTAGAAATGTGTGTGTTACCTGAGGTTCAGGTAGGTGAGGGCCTGCAGGTTCAGCAGCCCATCTGGCAGAGACCTCAGACAGTTCTGGTACAGATTCAGATTCTCCAGAGACACGAAGAGACAAACCTCCAGAGGAAGCTCCGACAGCCGATTACGAGACAGATCTGGAAACACACAGAGGGAGAGAAAGTTCAGGTTACATCTACCAGACACGTCAGTCCAAAGGAAGGAAAGTCCAGGATGGAGCTAGAGAAAGACGACCCAGTCAGGAAGGAGTCCTGCTGCTTCAAACCTCTGAGAAAACATCCAGCAGACCGACGTTACTGTGCTGTCAGATTCTGCGGATCTTTCCCGTTAATCGTGCAGGTAACCCTCATACAGGAGGGCTGTTCTGGATTAATCTGGACTCCAGATGTTTTCAGACTGTCAGGGAGGCAAAGATCCTCCATCAGGTGACTTCACAACAGCTGGATTTAGTTTTACTGTAAGAACTCGGTTGGACTGGATTTAAAAAATAAAAGGCCGCAGTCGAGGCCATCAGTTGAGGTTGTCAGATATTCAAAAGAAAAGCTCCCAGGAAGTCACAGCATGTCACCAGGATTTGTATAGCATTCTAGACTATCAAAATAAAAGCTCAGAGATGTTCAAACAAACTTTAAACAGATGAAGCATATAAATACATGTAATATATTTATGATGTCTGAGCAGGACACAGCTGCAGCGGCACGCTCAACACTGCTCCAGAAATGTTCCAGTTTTATTTACTCCCAGAATAAACCTCCAGAAATCCACTTAAAACCAGAGAAGACGACAGCTCGGAAGCTGCCAGAAAATCTGCCTGTTTATAGGTTTCATAAGTTTTCTTCAGCATCACGGTAATCCGCTGACAGTCGGTCGGATCCACGGCGAACACAACAGACGACTCTGCTGCTTTATTTTACAGAACACAGGAAAACTATCAGTCCACGGTGTAACTTCTGATGTTTATTTTAATGTCAGTGATGTCACTGAGTCACAACCAAAAGAGGAAATGGCACCATGTTGTTGTCCTAACTGTGGTGATTGACAGCCTGAAGCTCTGACATGATGTGAGATAATAAGTGCTAATTATAAGATGCAGAGAGCGTAACCCCGACGGGCGACTAAAATAAACACACCAGACGAGTTAACTGCAGAAACCAACACCCAGAAAAAAACGGCCAAATATGAAAAGAATGCCTGATTTACCACCGTGTTTGGAAGCTTTAGGCTCTTCAGGCTTATTGCTAGACGGTCGAAATAAATGATCAGTTGTCATTTATTGAAGTATGTGTCAAGTATTTCAATTTCTGATTTTAATAAAGCTTCATTTCTCTAAATCCTGCTTCTTAAACGGGAACATTTTCTAGTTTCTTTCCTCCTCTGTGACATTAAACTGAAGATCATTTGTCATCTTGATCTTTAGGAAACACAGATTGACATTCTTCTACATTTTCTGACATTTGGACAGATTCGTGATCATTCATCGTCAACATGAAGGATTCTTAACAGCTTCTGAACTGAGCAGATGATTGAGTGCCTCTGAACATATTCCAGTCCTCCACAGCACAAAGTGGCGACCAACCAAGCCGCCCTCAGCCGAGATAATGCAGCTCTACGAATAAAAACACTTCAGTCTGTCATCCGGTGAACACGCAGAACTTTCCATAAGCATCAGCTGACGGCCAAACATTAGAACATTATATTATAAAAACATTACATTCATTTTTAGAGTCTAATAAAAACAGGTTTCATGAACACATTCAGGTTGCATTAGAACCAATGCTAATAAATAAAACTAATCACTGGCACCAAATGAAACAGCACTTCCTTTTTTTTGTCAGTAATTATGGTTTCATTTAGTTTTGGTCAATAAAATGGTCTGAACTATCAGGAAATTCTAGATTTCTGTCAGATAAGGTAAAACAGACTCACTGCCTTGACTGTATGTGGACTGATCATTGCTCACTGTCGCCCTTCAAAGGTCTATTCTGAGCAGAAAATCCCCAGTTTATGGGCTGAATGAATGAACAAATCAATGACTCCTCTTCATTTACACTGCGGGCGATAACAGGCAGAGCAGCAGGTCAATGCCTCACGCTGTCATTTTACAGCTCAAAATATCCTAAAACACTTTTTATGTTCTGTTGTCGATGCAGACTAAAGTCCAACGCCCCGAATCAAGCTTGAAAAATAAATTATGATGTAATGGAACTTCCTGCTGTCTTAATATATGATTACATGTCAGTGTTTTTCTCCATCACACATATTATCCTGCTGTTGAGTATTTTTTCCTGTTTTTTGTGTAAAAGTTTACTCTGAAAGGATGTATGAACACAAAAAGAAAGGACGAGGAAAGATGCCACTGAAAAGTAAATCTAGAGACAGTGAAGGCTTCAAAAAGTCAATAAAGATAACAGATATGGTTTCATAAGGTTTTAACTTTCTACTAACTAGCTCTAACTCGTCGGCTAATTAGTTCTTAAATTAATCAACATCCGCACAACCTTTGAGGCGGCCATTATTATACCTTCCCCAAATTAGATCAGACAGACCGCTGATTAGTTTTGCAATTGATTGATTCATTGTTTAGTCAATAAATAGACTGTTAGTATTGATTCTCATCAGCCAACCATCTGACTAACTGTTGTAGCTTTAAGTACTCCAAGATCAGACTGACGTAGGTAAAGGATCAGACTAATTATGAAAGAAGCAGGATCACACCTAAAAAAGACTTTTTAAATCATGAACAAATGCTCAGTTTTCATTCTGATAACTGAATCATTGTTTTAGTTATTTCTATTTCAACGTTTTGCTGGTTTCAGCCTCTCAGATGTGACGATTTGCTGCTTTTCTCGTCTTTCTTGTCTCTTTCTTGTCATGTGACACTAAACAGAATCTTGTGAAGACGCCTCGGGCTGTAATAAATTACAACAGACTTTTTTTCTGTCTTCAGCCATTTCGTAGACAAAACCATCAGCTGATCAATTAGTCTCCAGCGAGCAGAGATCTGCTTCTGGTGTGGCTCAATAAAAACACTGTTGTTTCATTATATGTGAAGTTAGAAAGTCACGTCTCCTTGTATGTTCCTGACACTGAAAGACTGAAGTTTTAATACAAACCACAAAAGTAAGAACTGTATCAGAGGATCAGATTTGGCCCACAGACCAGTTTTCCTCCCAGTACTCCAACACATCCCGTAGTTTCATAACAGCATTTAGCTCCAGCTTCACATCTAGAGTCTATATTTATCAGAGCAGCTGTGAGCACAGCAGCACCTGGCCAGCAGGCCAGGAAGTACAAATCACCACGGTAACTTCTACTTCCTGCTGTACAGCCGCCTGTGATGCTCATTCAACCATCATCACCAGGAAGTGTCCTGAGGCGACCGACACCTCTGAAGGACAAACTCCTGCTGCAGCTACAGACACTTGTTTTCTTGTCTGTTTACATCACATTAACACAAACATACGTCTAACTGTGGCAGAGCTGGAACGACGAAACTCAGTTAATCACTCAGCAGCTTAACGAGTTCAGGATCAGCGGGTCGTACAATGGAGCCAGTTCAACATAGCCAGGCTTTCTTTGTGTTAGCTGGCTCAACAAAACCTAAAACCTGAATCAGAGATAATGATGATCAGACGGTGGTGTTAAACTGTCTTTGTTAACTACGATGCTCTTCTTGGTTTCCTGTGTGGTCCCATGCATCATGTGACTCTTCTTCTGCACCAATTACGTGCTGCCTCCGTGAGTCAGAGGAGCAGTCTGTTTATAAAAGGGAGATATTAATAATAACAATCATAATGCTAATAGCGCAAGTGAGGAATGCTGGTAAATAACTGTGAATATATTTATTTTTCCACTCAGTGATTCTTGATGCAGCTGCTTGTTTCTGATAAGACAGTCGCAGATCAGAGCTCTTCAACCTTAAACTTAATTCACATGAAAATCTCCTTAGTTTTCTGACAAATCAAAGTGAAAATAATGTTACTGATTTAATATTCTCCACCAAAAGCTGAATGAATTTTCAAATCTGTCTTCGATTAGCTGCTGTACCAGAAATGTAAAATGATCTGGGCAGCGAATCAGGACCAAGCACCAAAGCACATTTATGTATCATCAACTAAATGCATGTAGGTTCCCATGGCAACACAACACATACCTGCTGTAAGTGCACGGCTTCTTTCAGTGATACAAATAATGTGCAGCTCAACAGGTGGGCAGATAAAAGAGATTCTCTCAGCTGATAATCAGTATTGCTCAGAGAAAATAATCAGGAGCAGAACTGGTTAAAGGAAGCTACTTCTCACAGCTGATTTAAATCCCAAACTCTGAACAGAACCTCCTGTGCAGCATCAGTAACCATGGCAACCTAGCTGCGCAGCATCAGTTACCATGGTGATGGAGCAGGTTAAAAAGAAAGCAACCTCTGTGACACTAGCTTCCACATAACTCACTAACCCACCGACCTGATGTCATAGACCACAAGTAACTATTTTGATAATTTCCGTATTTTTTCAAAATAAAATGTTTTTATTTGAAGTCTCTTATTCACCTGGTTTCTTTTCTCCTCTGTGACAGTAAACTGAATATCTTTAAATTGGAGACAAAACAAGATATTTGTTATCTTAAGCTTTGGTAAGCACTGATTGACATTTTGGACTATTTTCTGATATTTTAAAAAACAATAAACTCATCGATTAATAGGGAAAACAATGAAACAAGCAAATGTCAGTTGCAGTCCTATCCGATAGTACAGAGTGTACAAGAATCCAAAACACAAAAATATTAAATTACATTTATTTATAATGTAATATTGAGCAGTTAATCGTTAAATCTGAGAACTTCAAACCCTCAAATTAAGCCTGAGAATTACTTAGACGGTTAACCGATCATTAACCTGCTGCTGATTGATTTGTTTTTGATTCCTGCGCTGCGTTTGTTTTGTCCTCCTCGCCGGCGCGACAGTGTCGGGGGGGGGCGGAGCAGCTTCTCATTCACTAATCAGACGTTAGAATCAAAACAAAGCCAGCCAGGTGTGTGCTCACTTTTCACCTGTGCAGCTGACGTCACAACCACGGGGTGAGGCTGCTCTAAACGCCCCGACTGTCCCGAACCCGGGAGGTTCCGCTCCGGTCCAACTGCACAGCTAGCTAGCTAAACAAGCTAAGTTTTATTGTAGAAACTAGCTGCTAGCATCACGTCCCCTGTGTTTACCTTTCTGTGGCAGTTAGCGTGCTAACTAGCCGCACCAGCAACCGTCAGTCTGCACCAACAAATCTCACAGGTGTAGTGACACAAACTGTAACCCCAACACACGGTGTCCCTCCGCCTCCACCCGGAGACTCTTCACCTCAACCTTACACCTCAAAACCACATCTAAGATACAGCACATACCACCTAGACAGATCTGAACATGTTAACAATTAAATTTAATCGTGCTAAACACTGCTAACTAGCTCAAGTTAGCAAACGTTACTTTGGGTTCCTGCTGCTGCGCGGATCATCTTTTAAGTTGTATTTTGGACCTCATGCATTAAAAGTCACTGTTAAAGTCACTCAAAATAAAAATAATACTGTTCTGGTATTTTATTGTGATGTTAGTTCACTGAAATGATCCGTGATATTAGAAATAAGAGCAGCAGAATCACGACAGGGTACCGCTTGTGAGGGGTGCAATGTTTGTCATAACACCGGCCCTGACGGTTTTCCCATCCCGTCCTCTCCAGAGCCTTAAAGTTGGATTTCAACTTTCCCCGCTTTAAAACCTATAAAAACTGCCTTTAAGTTACTTTAAGCGGCCCGACAGAGACCAGCCCGGCTCCGTGTACTCGCTGCACGGGCTGTGCGGCTCACTCACCGGCCCTGGTGGTGTCCGTCAGGTCGTGGTTGGCGGCGCTCCGGGGAAACTCCTTCAGCTTCCTGCCGCTGAGGTTCAGGCACCCGGTGGCCGAGGCTTCATCCAGCGCCCGGTCCAGAGAGCGGTTCCAGGGCGCCGGGCCCGCCGGTCCCAGTCCGTTAGTGTTCCCGACTAAAACATTAGCGGGTCCGCCGCCTCCGACCGGGAAGTTGAGTCCGGTGTTGTCCGCAGACCCCAGCAAGACCGAGGCCGCCATTACACACTCCGGCTGTTAGCTCACAGTGCTAACGGCTAACTCCCACCCTAAAGTCCAGAGCAGAGCATGCGCACTGAGCGTTCAGAGGGAGCAACTGGACAACAGCGAGTACTGGCACTACTAACTGTACTACAGTAATACTGCAGCAAAACTACTAATACTGCAACACAATACTACTAATACTAATACTGAAATACTACAAATAATACTGCTACAATTAAACATAAAAAACAGCAGGAGATTTTAAAAACTGATTAAAAATGCCAGTTTTGTTTCAGTGGAGTCAGGTTCCATCAAACAAAATGTTTTCTTTACCTAATTATGCATAAAAAGTGAAACAATTTAAAATCTCAAGCTCTATTTAGTAAAATAGTTTACTGAGTATACTTCTTATATATCATATAAATCAATTGCTACATTTTTTTTCTATAGCAACAAATTTCCACAAATACTAAATCTGAAAAAAAAATGTAAACAAGACAACAAATGGTCTATTTTTTCAGTAGTGTCCAAGTCAAATAAAAACACATTTTCTCTACTTATTTCAGGGGGAAAAAAGTGAAAGAAATGTTAAAAACAAATTAACAGATGACCTACGTCTTTTAGTGGAGTCAGATATCAATAAAAAAATCGTTTTATTTCTTATTCAAGCATGAAATAGAGAAAACATTTATAAAATGATTTACATATGGTCTGTCTTTTCAGCAGGGCCAGATTTCAATAAATGAAATAATTTTTTTTAACGTATTTATGTATACAAAACCATAAATTCTAATTTCAATAAACAAAATATTCAGCGTCAACAAATGACAGAAAATAAGCAAAATATTCTATTAAAGTATAAATAGAAACAACATTTTCAAACAAATAGCAAAATAATAAATATCTACAAAAGACAGAAGCATATAAATAAAATATTTATGTACTTGAGTAGGCATGAGATGCAGAACGGAAATTTTGAATTGTTTTTAAAGGGGTACACCTCTTCAGAAGTGTCTGATTTCAATAAATGAAAAAAATCACATCAGGAAAAAACAGAAAAATAAATAAAACTGAGTTTTTGAATTTAGTCTTGTTTGTAACTTCACAAACCTTTTTTTGTATCCATATAAATCTATAAATAAAGAAAAGTTCAGAAAATATAAACAATAGGAGGTCAAAGATAAATCTTTTCCTGACTTATGTCATTATTTTTTTTTAATTAATATTCTGAACAGCAGTTACAGGGAAATCCTTTCCGGTTTGTGTATTTGTAGGCTTTTATCGTCATGAACTTTATCTCCCAGAGTTCACAGCGCTGTCGCATATTGACGCATGCGCGTCGCAACGCTGTCCAGGGCCGGGTATCATGGCGACGTACGTGGACATTCTGAAGAGCGAGTTTCCTGAGATCGACTCGGAGCTTTTCGACTACATCACAGGTAAGAGACCGAGAACAGAGTGTCTGTCGGCGGGGGGACAGAGTCTGTACCAGCCGGGGGCAGAGCCGCTGACTGCCGGCCCGGTGGAGCCGCACACACCGGCCTCTAACGTGCCTCATAGCCGGGCTGCCGCCTCTCTTTAGCCGCTGAGCTAACGAGCTAACCGGGCTGACAGAGCAGGGGCACCGGTTAGCACGGCATGGCCCCGGTACGACAGGTTAGCTGGACCAAACCCGGGTTAGACAGAAAGTGGAGACGTAACTCCGGCTGGGCTGAACGATAGGAAACATTAAAGGAACATTTAAGACAATATCACATTAAAGCAACATTTCAGGAAATAGCAGGTGAATCATCAGAACCGTGACAGTAAACTGAGAAGAGTCAACTATGAAGATCCACTTTTATCCCGTTGCAGACGGACGGTTTTTATTGGGGAGTCCAGGCTGAAGCTGTTGGACACATCAGGGTGACATAATGACTACTTATTTAGTTTTTTAGCATTTGTTACTGTCTGTTAAATAGTGTTTGTAGTTATTAATTCCTATTATTTGCTTCCGCAGACAAACTACCACGTAGAAGAACTTGATCATTCATATACAGTGTTATAAGTTGTTTTATCTAACTCCTGAAATAATTAAAGTCTGTAGCGATTATGACAGTTGTGCTTTTTAAGATGTTGATAAAGCTCATGGAGTTAAATGACAGAAGCTGTGGACCTGTCAGACCCGTACTGAGACATCACAGCTTTTCTTTAATCTGCAGGTTTGGCCTCCGTCTCATGTTGTTCAGCAGTTTGTGTCCAGAGTTCTTGAAAGCAGGTTTTATGAGTGTCTGACTAAATCCACAGCTAAACCTAAATAATGCACACTTTAACAGATAAAAACACGTACCAGCACATTCTTTATTTACAGAGAAACACAGATTTTTTAATACAAAATGAGTGTAAATATCGACTAACTGATCAGAACTAGTTGTGTGCATGTGGTATAGCTGCACTGTTGAATTATGCTCTAATGGGGAAGAGCAGGCGTGGCTGCTGTTAGTGTCTGGTTCTACTTAATTAGAGGTTGATAAATGAGGTGAGTCTTTATCAGGTTGGGCTGTAAATTGGGAAAAACTGCCTGGTTCAGCATTTCAGTGGGTTTTTGTGATGTTTTAATCATTAATAAGGATCAGGGTTGGCTGTGATATTCCTGATGCTGTGTAACTGAAGTATGCATCAGGTGGTGTTTTCATTTTATTGGGTCGTGTTGATGATGTTCAGACTGAAGTCTTGTTTGCTCGGCTCTCAGACTGTCAGCTGATGTAAAGTATGGCCATAAAGGCTGATGGCTGGTTTATTTTTATATCGGCGGCCCTTGAGCTGGACGAGGCTCCACAGGGCCGAGCAGACAAGTGGATGCTGTGAAATCAGTTCATTTATTCTCAGAAAACTGATCAGAGGAAACTTTTCCCAAATAAATATGTAAAGTATTAAAGTAGTTCAGAGGTAGATGTGAGGGGATCATTTCATCATTTCATAATATGACAAACGTAAATGGTGACGGCAGCAGATGATTTAGGTGGAAGTGTTTGTGTATTTCAGGGGTTTTGGACAGCGGAGCAGATTTCGAGGATGGCGAGGAGGTCTACGACGCCATCGGCGGAGTCCTGCAGGACGTGTCGGCTGACAGTAAGAACGAGGACGACATCAGAGACATCTGCCTCCAGATGTTCAACACCCTCAAACTGTGAGAAACGTGTTCTCTTGGCTCATCGGTGTTTGACTGTCAGGAGCGTTGGTTGATTGAGCCTCCAGTAAAAGTGCAGTCATATTTTTATTTGTCTTTCAGGAACCACCATCACGGCTCTCAGAAGCAGGTGTTGTTGGAC